CGGCGAGCTCTCGCTCGGCCCGCGCCTGGAAGGAGCTTTGATGCTGGCGCGGCCGGCCCGCACGAGCCCTCTCCACGGGGATGGCAGTGCCGTGCCGCCCGCCTTTAGCATGTGTGCCCCAGGCACAGGCCTCTCCCTGACCGTGTCCCAGTCCCGGCTGGGTGATGTGCAGCGGAGCCCTCCAGCGCAGACCGGCACTGGACCCCTGATCCAGCATGTGGGCTCTGCCTGGCTCCGGTAGCTCGCTCCAGCAGCACACAGCCGGGTGTTGTAGCTGAGCTTCCTGGGGAAAGCTGCCTTTCCTGAGCACTCCTGTCCATATTCCTGCCATGCCTGTCTGAGAGTCCAGAAACCACTGTTTTGTCCTATATGCGGCTTTACAAGGAAAAGGTGAGCTGTATCTCATACTTGCTGTGTTAGGGGTTTACAGCACTGTCCTTGAGTACAGCCAGTACAAAAGCACATTTTAATGGTTGTATTGCCATATCACCAGCACTGTGACACACAGGAACACAGATCTCTTGCCATAGCATGCCTCATCTACCTCTCCCCAGCTCCTGCTCCCCTCTGTCTCTGCAGACACATCTGCTGCCATGGTGAATGAGAAGCACAATGGCACCCTGCTTGTGCAGCTGGGGCCCAAACTGCAGGCCTACCCAGAGGAGCTGCTCCGGCAGCGGCGAGGCCACGACGGCCGGCCGGAATACCTGGTCCAGTGGAGCATTGTCAGCATGGAAGAGAGAGCAGCGGGAGGCAGCAGTGCCTCCTGTGCAGAGACCAAGCCAGAGCACATCTCCATGTGGATGTCTGCAGAAGAGGTCTGCGCCAGCTGCCCGGCGCTGCTGGGCCGGAGGAGGCCGGAAGGGCCGTGGCTGAAAGAGGAGAAGGCGCCCGGTCCGTTGGCCGCGGACGTGGCGCTGGACGAGGCCTCGCTGCTGGAGATGAAGGCCGATGTCAGGAGCCTGGTGCAGCGAGCCGGGCGCCAGGTGGCCGAGGCCGGGACGCCCGAGCGCTCCATCCTGAGCACGGTGCACGTGCTGGGCGCCTACGCCAGCATCGGCTCCCTGGCGGGCGCCTTCAGGGAGACGGGAGCCCTGGACCTGCTGATGAGGATGCTGTGCCACAAGGAGAAGCAGATCCGCCGCAGTGCCGGCGAGATGCTGCGCGCTCTGGGTGCCCACGATGCAGGTGGGGGCTGCTCCTGCTCGGTGCCGCTGAGGAGGTGTTGCTGGGCAGCTGAGGGGTGCCAGCCTTTGGGAGGGGTGAGGTGCCTGGGAAGCAGCACGTCTCGGGGCTTCTTGGCAAAAGGGGAGGAATCAGTCTGCATCTTCCAGGCTTCCTTGGTTGTAGTTGTCTGGACTGCTCTTGGATCTAGAAACTCTCCCCTGCCGGGTTTCTGAGCTGGGACGCTGATTAACTGTTAGGAGTGTTAAGGAACATTAGGAGTGGCTATCTCCTCTAGCAGCCCCAGCACCTCTCTTTCTTCACTGCTGGAGCCCAGCCTGGGGAATCTGGAGTTTCTCAAGCTGAGAGATGCAGCTGCCACTTTCCCATTTGCAGATTCAGCCAGTAGCAAAGCTGAGTGCCCATCCTGGAGCACAGACACACACAGGACTCTGACAGCACACACCTACAGCACTCACATAAACAGAAGCACAGCCAGCTGTGTCCCCTCCTGCTTTTTGTGCAGCAGGGACAGGAAGCTACTCCTGCCAGCACACACTGCATTTTCCAGGTTCAGAAATACACGTTCACTGATCACTTGGGTACCAGCATGGCCCCTCTGTTCTGCACCATGCCTGGATCCAAGCCCCTCTGCCAGTCTCAGGGATCGCCCTGCTCATCAGTTTGTCAAGTGATGCTTGCTAGTAAACCTGTAGCACTTTTGTTCCACGGTCCACGTTCACACATCCCTTGGGACTTCCAGCACCAACCACTACCCACCTTATACCCTGGTCTGGACCCAGGACCTCCTCCTTGATATTCCAGCATGACATTTTGCTAGTGAATTACATGCATGGCAGGGTAGGAAAGATGCAGATATTCACCCTTTCCCCTGGCCCCAGGCACTGCAATTCTGCTTCAGCTGCTGGTGTTGAACTCCTCACTTGACTCTCTTTCAGCAGCTGCTCTTCAGAACACACACTGTTCTCTCCCTAGTGGCTGGTGACCAAGGATCCTGCCAACTCCAGGCACTAGCACTGGAGAGACTCTTGCATTTGCTCCAGTAGCTGGCACATCAGGCCAGGGACTCTTGCACCCCTGATCAGAACTGAGTAATTTGATCTGGGTCAGCAATCTTCCTGATAACTGGCATTCCAAGCTCAAATCTGTGATTTGATCCAGAGAGTGATGGCACCTCCAGCTGTCATTCACTCCACTGACTGACTCCATAGGGCTCCCACACCCCCAGTTCATGGTACCAAAAGCCATTCAATCAGGTCTCACCAGCAGCTGGCACTCGGTCTTTGCAGCACATACACAGACACAGGGTAGAGAGAGGCTTAGTAAAGATTCAGTAAGAAAGTAGGACAAACTGTGTCAATCAGGTACAGGGCTGTCAGACAAACACACTGACCAGCCACAGTTTAAACACAACTGGCACCTTTTATAACCCTTTCTCTGCATCCCCTTTTGTGTTCCTTGCCAATTCCAATTAATCAGATAATCTTACTGAAAAACAATCATTCTCACACACCAGATGTCCTTACTAATTGTTGTCCAGATGTCCTTACTAATTGTCGTGACTGACCAAATTTGTTTCTCCTCACTGCATCTATTAGCATTTGTCAGTCAGGTTTGTGATTATGTTCATGTTTATGGCTTCCTTCTTACTTTGACTTTTTGCAGTGAAAAGGTCCTTGACTGGATACACTTAGAGGAGCATAAACCTCCTTCCACATACCCTTGTAATGAAAATACCAAAGGGCTTGACACAACCCTGGTGGGTAGAGGCTGGTCTTCACCGAGTTCTCTCATTTAAGAGGTGCTGCCATGGCTTGGAAGCACCTGATGAGGTTTGGGTGCACCTGGAAGGTTGCTGCTTGTGGTGTATCCCACAGGAGATCCGGCTTTCCCTGTCCTAGTGCCTGAGTTCATGCAGCTCTGAAGTGGGGCAGAGGAGGGGCTGATTCAGGTTAAAACTTGACTTCTTTTCTTCCCTGGGACCCTGCTCTGGAATCAGTTGTTTGGAGTTGCTGCTTTGTGAGAATCTTGCAGTGTTAGGAGTAGAAAAAGTACACCATGGAGCAAAATGTTGCCACTCCAGAGGGACAGAACATGGATCAGTTGACATGCAGCAGCAAAACTGTTCCTCTCCTGCAGCTCCATCTCTCACAGGGAGGGTGGGGTGAGGGTTGTCTTTGTGGGGCCTGAAGAGTTTTTGTTTTGTTGTTGTTGCAGGGAGCCGGGCCTATGTCCTGCTGTCCCTGAGCCAGCAGGATGGCATTGAGCAGCAGGTGGACTTTGACAGTCGCTGCACCTTGCTGGAGCTGTTTGCTGAGATCACGTCCTCTGCAGAGCACTGCATGTCCTTCGAGGGGATTCACCTCCCGCAGGTAGGGACGGACCGGCCACCAGCCCCGGGCCTGTGGGGCATGAGGGGCCAGGAGGGGTGGGAGTGGGGGAACAGGGCTGGCACCTTGTCCTGGCCAAGAGGGGAGTTTAAGGTGGGCAGGTGAGCAGGACTGGGAGAGCTGGCACAGGACGTGGGCCTGGTGAGAGGCTGGGGGTGGTGCAGAGGCACCTGGAGAGCCCGGTCTGCGAGCAGGGAGGGGAGGGTGGGCTGAGAGGTCTCTGCTGCTGCCAGCTGGTCTGGAGCTCTCCCGGGAGCCTGCCTGGGAATGAGCTGGTGGCTCAGAGAGAGCAGGGGGCTGGAGGTGCTCTGCAGGCTGAGTGAGAGCTGTGCTTGTTGTAGATCCCTGGGAAGCAGCTGTTTGTCCTGGTGAAGCGCTACCTGTGTGTGACTTCTCTCCTGGACAAGCTGAGCAGTGGCGTGGAGCAGGGAGAGGAGCAGCAGGGCTGTGCTGTGCCCAGCCCTGTCCCTGAGGAGAGGAGCCGTGTGAAGCAGGAGTTTGAGTTCAGCATGGCCATGGCAAGCCTCATCTCGGAGCTGGTGCACGTGATGGGCTGGAGCCACAGCCACGAGGCAGAGCCACTGCCCCAACGGGACCTGCAGCCTCGCCCCGCCCGCTCCATCTTCCAGCACAAGGCCTCAGCCAGCTCTGCTGTCCAAAAGCCTGTGTTGCCATCAAATCCTGGAACTCACAAAAAGCAGGGCCGTACATTCCTGACTGCATCAGACTTCGCAGACAGCAGTGACTACGTGGAGTACTTGCAGGCAAACCTGGTGCGTGGCATGCGGGTGCGCTTGCTGGAGGACTGTGGTGCCGTTAGAGCTGGGGAGGAAGGCGAGGTTCTCCAGAGCACGAACAGCATGCACACAGTACAGGTAGGTGATGGGGAGACTTGTTCTGGCTGGAATGGCAGAAGGGAGTGGCTGGGGTGACCGATGAGTTCCTAATGATGCCTTTATGTGTAGGAAGTTGGGCAGTAGGTGCGGCATAGTGTGTATCACTGTCTGCATCTGTCCTAGTTGCATGGAGGGCTAGTCTGGTTTTGCATGGGTTGTGCTGCTAAGATTTCTTAGCCTCTAAAACAGGCCTTACTAAAAAGCCTGTCTCCATCTTTCTTACAAGCCCCCTCTAAGTATTGAAAGATCACTGTAAGGTTTCCCTGGAGGCTTCTCCAGGTTGAACAACCCCAGCTGTCTCAGCACTTCCTCATAGCAGAGGTGTTCCATCCCTCTTACTGTTTTTGTGGCCTTCCTCTGGACCTGCTTCAACAGGTCCATGCCTTGTCCTGAAGTTTTCAGAGCTGGATGCAGTTCTTCAGTTGTGGTCTCACCAGAGCAGGGCAGAGGAGCAGAATCACCTCCCTTCACTTGCTGATCACACTGCTCCTGATGCAGCCCAGGATATGGTTGGCTCTTTTGTCTCTGAGTGCACATTGCCAGGTCATGTCCAGCTTTTCATCCACCAGTTCTGCTAAGTCCTTTGTAGGGCTGCTTTCAATCCCTTTGTCCTCTAGCCTGGATTGGTACTGGGGTTTGCCACAACCCAGGTGCAGGACCTTGCACCTCATGAGGTTTCCACTTCTCAAGTTCATCCAGGTCCCTTTGGATGCCATCCCATCCCTCAGGCGTGTCAACTGCACTGCTCATCTTGGTGTTGTCAGCAAACCTGCTGAGAGTGCAGTCAATCTCAGTGTTGTCACTGATGAGGGTAACAAATGGTCTTGGTCCCCATATGGACCCCTGAGGGACACCACTTGATCTCCAGCTAGATGTTGAGCTGTTGACATCTGGATATGATCATTCAGCCAATTCCTCATCAACTAAATGGTCCATCTGTTGAATCCATATTGGTGATTGAGAGAGATGGGGACAACTGACTGGTGATCAGAATCCGAATTTACTGTGGGCTACATATGCTTATATACCATTCTAGGAAAGCTAGTAATTTTTTACTACAATGATTGGGTTGATCATTGTACAAACAATCTTACACATTTTTGCAATATCTCTTCTACTTGCAGAAATCAATTTAGTCTTCTTCCTTGTCACCAGTCTGATCCAATCCTCTTGCAGTCTTCAAAGTTCTGTTTGTTCTTGCCAAGGCAAGAACTCTTTTGCTAAAATCCCTTATGCTAATCCAAAGTACTCTCTGTCTTTGCACAAAAAAATCCATATCTCTCCAATTTGAGGAGAAGGATGTTGTGGGATTGCTGTCACAGGCCTTACAGAAATCCAGAAAGGTGACAGCCCATAGCTCTTCCCTTGGCTACTGATGTAGTCACTCCATCATAGATGGCCAGGAGGTTGGCTGGGCAAGACTCTTCTCTGGTTTTCTGGAATCATCTCCCTGTCTTCCATGTACCTCAGTTAAAAGGCTTCTCTAGTTCTGGTCCATGTGTTGGTGATGTTTCTATTCAGGTCCCCTCAGCTAAGTAACTGCTTTGCATCTTATTTTTAAATGGCTTATAAACCTCTTTTATAACCCACTGTATAAATTGCAAAGGAAATGTATTTCATACTGATTCTCTCTTTGTCCTGATACTTCTTGTTTTCTAATATCTGTGTTTTCCTAAAATTGTGATTTCTGTTTCTTATAAACTTGTACTTTCTTTTAATGAACTGGGCACTTGGAAGGAGCACCGAGATCCTTTCATATTTTTCTCCTGTTGCCAGTGACATACATTTCAGAGGGTTTTCACTTCAATGTTGAGCTAAAGTATACTGTTAGCTTCCATTCCCTTTGTCCTGTTGGTCCCTTGGGTTCCCCATCCAGGCTTATTTTCAGTAAGTTGTTTGTCAGGCTCACACTATTGACAAAACCAGATTGGAATGGCAATTGGGCCGGTCCATCATGAATGTCTCTTACCCCCTCTCATCTTTCCTTTGTTGCTCTGATTGCTGTTGCTTTCCTTGTCTCTCCAAAGAAAGAATTTCACTGTTGTGTCAGTCCTGCAGCTGTAACTTTCCATGACTCCTTTGAAATGGCATTTGGTACATAACTAGTTTAGAGCTCATACATAACTAGTTCAGAGATACATTGAAGACTCTTGGGTGTTGTGTGTAGTTTAACTCGATTTCCTTCCATACAGTGCTTTCCCAAAGCCTGTCAGCATCTCATCTGTCCAGCACAATGGGTTCCCAGTAGCACAGGTGTAAGTCCAAAAGAGCTCAGTGAAACAGGCAAACCATATATTTTTCTGTTGTTTTTTTAAAGCTGCTGACGTGTTGTACTTGCTGTTGCTGGGTCCTCCTTCTGTTTGGAAGGTTAAATGTAACACTATGCTATGGGAAGCCATAAAAAATCCTTTTCATTTTTGAAAGGCAACTTGGACCAAGCAGAGGAAACAATTGCTGCCTTTGAGACATGCTTGTCAAGAGCCTAAAACCTGTTTGAGAGGGTTGATGAATGACCAAGGTTATAAAAATGCCTTGAGGTACTTTATGTACAGCTCATCTGCCTCAAGGTAGTGTTGGTTGTGTTCTTCCTTTGTCTGCTTTTCCCAAGGCACCTGCAGCTTGGCTCTTTTGGAACAGGTGTGATTAACTGGATGCACTCATGCCTCTGTTGCTGTAATAAGTGAGATCTTTAGTGGTTGCAGGCAAAGTTAGTGGTTTTTAAAAACTAAAGATCCAGGTGTAACCAAGGCAAGAAGTTAGTAAAGATGGTATGCCTCAAAACTGGACAATGTGTGTGCTGAGATCTGTACACAAATTGTGTGGTCTTCTACTTGAGCAGTGCTTCCTGTCCCCAGGCATTTGGAAAATGTGAGGACAGCTGCAGCAAGAGGATTGAACAAGTGAGCAAATCTGATTATCTGGATTTGTTTCACCCACAGGTTTTATGGCAGTCGACAGGTCGGACCTACTGGATGCGTTGGCAGATACTGGAGATTATTGGCTTTGGGGACCAGTGGGAAGATCCTGCTGCTCAGAAAAAGGAATATAGTGTGAGAAAGAGCCTTAATCTAGACACAGGTGAGATTGTGATGCATGTGTATATCATCTCTCTATTTCTGATTATCCTGTGGGATAGGAGTGGTGACCTTTATATGGCCAGACACATGGCAAGTAGCAGGTCGGGTTTAGAAAGCACTATTGGTTGTAAAGCTAATTAAGGAATTGTATGGCTTGTGATTGAATGGAGTATTTTTGAACCCTAGACTTTGGTCAAGATGTATAATAAAAGTAATGATATAAAAAGCATAAAATTTTATTTAAACTGCAACTGGCACAACTTTATGTTTGAATTAACTGGCCAAACTGCCAAAACATGAACGTAGAATTTCTCTGAGCTAAAGCTGTTTAGGGGCATTCAAGTACCCTTAAGTAAGTGAAAAGGTTTTTTAAAAACATCGACATAGCAACAATTTGTTTAACTTCATACTGTTAAGCTTTTAACAAGGTCTTAAAGAACTGTTTTCGTAAGACATCTCCTAGAATCATTTAACATTGACCTTGCACTGGGAGAAAATAAAAGGCAGAATCCAGACTTCAGCTATCCCTATCTTCTTCAGCATCTGACATGATTCTAGCCAGGAAAACTTATTAAATGACTATTTAATCACAGCTGTGATCTTTTAGGATATCTTTTCTGTAGAGTGGTTTGGATTTACTGGCTGCAAGAAAGAATGTTGATGAGATTATCAGCTAATTGCACACTTAGAAAATATTCTTATTGCCAGTTGAAAAGATGGTTTCTTAAATGGCTTTTACCTCTTGTAGTTAAAGGCTTAACTTCATGTCAGTGTGCAGTGTCTAACTTAAAACAAACTTAGTTAGGTTTCTCCTTTTCATGGTCTGATTTTGGGAGAATCAGGAGCTCTGTTTCACTTCTGTGTATAACTCTTTCCAGGCATCATATCTCACAAAGAATATGAATTGAAATGTGGGGTGTGCAGCAGAGGATGGGGGAGCTGGCAGAGCTGACAGTGCCTTTCCTTGCTCTGCTCCCCAGCAGTTCCACAGCCATTGCTGTGCAAGCCCTTGGGGGGGCTTTACTCCCTGCCTTACCTGGGGCAGCGGCTGCCCAAGGCTGCAGAGACGCTGAGCCGTGCCGAATGGTGGGAGCTGCTCTTCTTTGTGAGGAAGCTGGAAGCACAGGAGCAGAAGGAGATCACCTGTCTCATCCAGCAGCACCAGGGAGAGCAGGTAGGGGCCAGTGCCTGCAGCAGGAAAGTGGAGGGAGGAGCAAGGAGAACAGCAGGGAAGGGACCAGGCCCAGAGGAGGTGGCAAGTGCGAGCTGTGCAGGGACAGCCTGAATGGGGCAGAAATGGGAGGGTGAGTGGGGATGGGTGAAAGCCGAGGGAGCTTGGCCCAGCAGAGCAGTGAGTGGAGATGAGAGGAAAGGCAGTGTCC